CAGCCCTGCCTTCCATGCAGTGCCTGACCAGGATAGCTCCAAGCAACAGAAGTTCCAGAAGACATTAATTTTACTTTTCAGTAATGGTTGCACCCTTGATAACTTCTGTCCTGTTTTAGGGCAAATTTGGGAGAACTGTGTGCTTCTTCTTCCCTCTCTTTCCTCTCAGAACCAGCCGTAAAGGTGCACAATTATTTCTGGGTTAGACAGCCCAATGGGGGTACCAGCATCATAAAGTCACCCCAGGACAGCTTTGCTTGCTGGAATATCCTGACTTTGAGCTGATTATCCCAAGACTCTTTTAGAACACAAGCATTTTGGTGCACTTCCTCAAGCATATACTTGAAACAAGAACCCTCTGCAGGCGTGCACAGATCTCACTCAGAGACACTGTGATTTCAAATGAAAGACATTTGATTTGATTGCCAAAAATCTCTGCTCAACCTGACTCATAGTTCACGTATGCAGTGCACAGATATCTAAAGGAGTCATGCAAGAAGAACACTGCCTTTTTTATTTTTTCCTTGGGTGCTGCAGCACACAGTCTGTCTGACAGGGATTGATAGGCACAACTTAAATCACTCCTATGGGTGGTGCAGCACAGCTGGGAAACCTCTCCCAAGCACATTCAGCTTACTTCTGTTTTAAAGTGACTTCATAAAAACTTCTATCCCACTGTTTGATGCCAGGTTGTGGCACATTAGTCAGAATGCTGAGTTCCTAGCTTTTTCTCAAAGCTCACATGGTTTAAAAGACTTCAGTGTTAAGCACAAACAATTTCTGCTTTTAAAACAAAATATGAGATGCTCCTTGGGTGAATCACCAAATCCTCTTGCTCTCCAATTAAAGGAGCTCTCTCTTCCCCCTAACAATTTGTTTTGCAAGTTACACAACATCTTTCTCCTAATCTGATTTAAAGGCCACATCACACTCAGAAGGCAGCCCCTGTCAGAAATGTGGTCTGTAGGAAGTGGAGAATCCTGCACTGAGCAGCTCCCACACAGACCTGGAGGGAGCCTGGGGGTACAGCAGTGAGTGTGAGCATGTCCTGGCCACCACACGCTTCTGCTAATCCTACAGTGACATGAGATACTAACTGGAATTAATAACACCACCAAAACCACTGGCCATGGTAATTTCTAGTTAGGCAGTGCTCTACCACTCCCAGAGCACCAAACCCTGTTACAGCACCTCTTCTCAAGTGCTGACTCACAGAACCACAGATGTTTGAAAGGATCTCACTCTTTTCTCAGGCAGCCCAAAAACCAGGGTCACCCACCAAATTCACATCACCACGCTAAAGACTCTGTCCAGGTTCAGAACTTGAAAACCTCCAACAACATTGATCTCAGTGTCTCTGACCAACAAATACTTCATCACCCTTCAAATCATCTTCCCCTTTTAGTCTCCTCTCCAGCTCCTTTTTATGACCTCTGTCTCCCCTTCTTCTGCCATCAACTTCTGTCAAAAGTCTGGCTTCAACTCTCCACCACAAAGATGCTCAGCTAGCCAGGCCCTTGGTAAGCTACCCCAGCTCTGTAAACCAGAGCTGCCACCCTCAAGCACTCCCATTTCCTAGGTCCCTGACAGAATTATCTATTTCCCATGTGACTGAAGCGTGGAGGAGAGCAAAGAACATCTGAGTTAAGCATTAACCAACAGAGGAATCCCAGCAATCTCCCTGACAACCTCAATTTGGAGTGTTTGCCCTAGCAGAACAGGCATGCTGTAAAACAAGCAACTTAGCATGTTGCCAAACCCATGAGCTGCTCTCTGCCACCTCCTGCCAGCCTATTCTCAGGGCTGACGTGAGATCAGATGATTGTTTGCCAAAACAATCTAGATTTTTTTCTGTCCATTTCACTGGAAACAAAAATGACGACAAAAATACCAGGCACTTGTTCCAACCCCTAGTCCTTAAGCCAGGGAGAAAAAAAGGGGAAAAAAAAACCCAAAACACCAACCCAGAGCTCCCTCAGCAGCAGCTGAGTCTAGGTGCTGTTAACACTGATACCAAACTTCAGTAAAATACTTCAGTTTACACACTGCTTTACTATTATAAAAACTGGAACTAAATTCTCATTGTGCAGCTCAGTCACATTCAACAAATGGCATGAAACCTGAACACCTCTCCCAACTACCTAAAGCAGAAAGTAAATGAATTAGTAGTCCTGATACAGCTCGCCCTTAATTATTTGTGTGTGTACATAGTCAATTGTCTTACAGAGAATACTTTAAGCGTTGTTTCCCTTCCCAGCACAGATTCTCTCCCCACAGCCAAGTCCTGCTTCCTGCCCATCAGGAAAAGTGCCATTGATCAGGCAGCAGCCCTAAAAATCCCCACCAAACAAAGCCCTGCACGTCTGCAGGCAGAAAGCACTGCACAGCTTTGAGTTTCAGGTGAAGAGAACAGGGAAATAAAAACCTTCCACCTTTCTATTCTAGTTCCCCTTCCCTCAGGATAACGACTTAAGCTCCTAGCCCTCTGTCACCTAGAGCCATTTTTATCATAAAAATATCATTCCTCTGGACTCCTTCCCAAGGATTTGCCTAATTTCGGCTCCTGTGCCAGGAACCAGAAGTACTTTCTCCTCTGTGTGCAGCTGCACAGGCTCTCCCAGCAAGCCCTTGCTCAGCACTGCCCTGGATGTGTGAAGTGAGTTTGGGAGGAGGCACACTCCTGTCTGAGCTCCTGGAATTACACCCAACACCTGACAGGGACTGCAGGCTAATTCATCTCTGCACTCCATGAAACTCCATGGGCTGTGAGTTACAAAGATGAACCAAGAACATCTCCACACCCAGCTGTGAGGAACTTTGGATATGAGCTCAGTGACAGCTCAGCACAGCACAAACAGCGTGGCTTCCGTGCCACAGGTCCCAAACACATCTTTATCTTGCACAAAGCAAACAGGGGTGAGGTACAAGTAAGAGTGCTCTGCCAGTGCCTGGGGACACTGCCAGCCCAGCAGAACCAACTCCTCATTCCAATCAAAGCCAGCACAATTTTGTAGGATTACTCTCCTGTATGATGGATGAAGCCTTTCCCTGATTACAGCCTTGTTCTTCCCTTACAAACCCACGGTAATAATTGGTAAATCTGGCTGTCCAGTCACTCCAACGCAATTTAAAGCACACCTGAATCTTTTTCTCCCTCAAAAGTAAATCTCTCTTTGTGTCAGGTACATCATGTCCAGAGTGAAAAAAAAAATCTGCTTTCCTATTCAACCCACTCACTCAATTCCATCATCAAGGGCCAGTCACCTCCCCCAGGGCAAAGCTATCTTTCAGAAGGCTCTGATTTGAGCAATATATCCCTGCTCTGATCCAGGGTGCTGCTGGACTGCAATCATCCACCCCCTCAAGAAACAAATGCACACTGCTGTGAATGAAGTCAAATATTAACATAATGTTCTTTTTTCCACTCAATGGAACAATGAAAGTTTATTCTAGTGATTCTAAAATAAGTGAATAGACCATGCAGTGGAAATAGGCATCCTGTTCAACCCAATTTTGAGCTCATTTCACTTTGATTTTTCAAATTATGCGTTTCTATCAGAACAGAGTTCTCTACTGCTAGAGCAAAATTCAAGTTTATGTTCCCAGCTACCAAGAGAAGCACTTCCCTGAGTGATTTTTGAATCAGTTCCCTGCAGGAATCTTCAGGCAGGGAAAGTATCTTAGATACTTCAGCAGGAAATAGTAGGGGTAGTTATATAAACATACCCAAAGGTGCTGTTTATACAAAGTTTATCCTATGCAAGGAAACACGAGTTTGTTTCCAATAACACCATGAAACAAAACAAAACACCACACGTGCTTATCTTTTGCCAAGATACACTTAGTCAATTTTAATACAAGTTCAGTTAACGTAATTTATGCTTCTGATTGTCATCCCCTGAAACAATTACAACTTGCAGTAACTTTTCTATGCCTCAACATTAAATTTACCAACGTCCCCAAACGCTAACTTCATGTTCAGCAACAACAACAAAAAAAACAAAACAAAACAAAAAAAAAAAGCACAACTGAAAAAACCCCAAACAAACCACAAGAATCCAAACTGCAGTAGTCAGGCTGATTATCTAAAAGCCAGAAGACAATCATTAAAGGAGCACATGGTGGGAGAACTTCAATAGCGATACAGTTTTACCAGCATCGGGGAAAGCCCTTGCAACAGGTTAAATAAAGTTTGTAACTTGAGTACTCTCTCCAAAGAGAAGACTCAGTGAGTTATACGTGTCTGCTACACTGTTGCTTTTGGAAATACAGCAAGAACTGAGTTAAACGGGGTCGATTCAACACGTGCAACTGACAAATGTAAACAATAAAATGTAAACACTGTCACATTACAGCTTTTGCTGCTGCAGCACGTATGAACTGTGATACAACCCAGTGATGCTGCCTTGAACTCCACCTGTATTTTGATTTATCAGCTCTGCCAGTGAACTAACCAAAGAGCACAGCCATTATAAGCAACCGCAGTCCTACACAGGATTTACGTTCCAAAAAGCCATAAGACACCACCCAGTTTGTGAGATTGTTTTCCCATGCAGTGAGAGGTTCCATTGGCAAGCACGTGGTTCGCACGGCGATCACCGCGATGGTTCTGGATGCTTCAGCGGGGCCGGCCGCACCCGGCTCCGGCCGCCGAGCGGGCACAGGTTGCGGAGCAGCGCTGTCCCTGTGGCTGTCCCTGTCCCTGCCGCTGTCCCCGTCCCTGTCCCCTCCCGAGCGTGGGAACTCCGCCGCCGCCCGCGCCCAGCGCCCACCCCGGCCCCGCCCGGCCCCGAGCAGCGGCAGCGCAGCCCGGCCCTTCTGGGCTCTGCCTCCCCCGAACCCGCACGGAGCCCCGGAGCGCGGAACCGCCAATCCGCGGCAAGGCTCCCACGCCCCGCGTTCCCCGCCGGGAGCGCCGCATCCGCGCCCCCTCCTCCGGCCGCAGCGGCCGCTCGAGCCGGGGCCGTTCCCCGCTCCCCGCCCGCTCCCGGCGCGCTCACCAGCTTGGGCTTGTTCCGGCTCTCCTCTTCCGCGGCGCGCCCGCCGCGCTTCGCGTTCATCCTGCCGGAGCTCAGCGGCTCCTCGCCGCCCGCGCCCGGAGCCGCGTGTCCGTCCATGGCTCCGCGGGGCCGCCCCCGCCGGGCCGAGCCGAGCGCTCACGGCCGCACCGGCCCCATGGGCCCCCCGCGCCCGCTCCGCCCGGGGCGGCTCCGCTGCTCCCCCGGCCCCGCCGCGCACGCGCACGGCCCGCCCGAGCCACCGCGCCTGAGCGGGCGGCGCGCGCCTGCGCCCTGCGGCGGCGGGCAGCAAATGGCGGAGCCGTGAGGGCAGCTCGGAACGCCCCCGGGAACGGGGAAAGGCCGGGGCGCTTCCCGGGCGGGGGTTATGGCACGGGGCGCTGGGAGGGGCCGGCACTGCCCGTCCTGCCGTGGGCGGGGCACTGCCGCTGGCACAGGTGTCCGCAATGCCCGTCCCACCCGGCCTTGGGCACGCCCAGCGATCCTGGGCCGGCCGCAGCTGCTCTGGCAGCCTGTGCTTTAAGGCCGCCCCAGCCGCGCAGCATTAGGATTTCTATTAGGATTTCTTCCTAATATCGAATGGAAACCTTCGCTTTTCCAGGTTGAACGCATTCCGCCAGGTCCTGTCTCTACGTGCTTTTGTAAATTGCCTTGCCCAATCTTTGGTGAAAGTTCCCGGTAGGTGTTGGAAGAGCGCTTAGAGCACCCCAAAGCTGCCTCTCTCTTACCCAGGCTGAACAATATCTGAGTTATCTGCCCGTGCCCATGGATTACAGCAATGGAGAACTGCTTAAACCGTTTATGTGGAATCCAGAATCCCTTCCTTCAGCCAAGCCTCGCTGTGAAAACTGAAGGACTCTCAGGATGTATCAGCATGAACAGAGGAAAATCACGGGTCACATGTCTGGTTATTAAAGGGGTCATGTTGACAGATGTCTTCATATCAATATTGTGGCTATTTTAAAAGAAAAATGTACATTTTGTGTTGTATAGCTGAATCAATACCTGCTAAATTATGTTGAATAAGCAGTCACAAACACCATCGTGATCTGTTGTTTTGGTGGGACAAGGGCAATCTTTTGGAGTTCACATTCAGATATAAATTTGCTCTCTAGGAGAGGGTCCCAAAAGACAAACAAGACAGAATAGTGAATTTCTGAACTATGTCTAATACATACACAGTGGTACAAACCTGGGATTCAGGGAGTTGTCCATTTCTTGTGGCTCTCTGAGGCTTACTTGAGTACTGGGGGAAATATTTACCTTTTAAATCCAGCAATGAACACCTGTTGATAAAATCTGACAACACCACCTTTCAAATAAAAGGACAGCTCTAAAACTGGCAGGTGTCTGGAACTCAAAGTAGAATCTTGGCAGCAGAAGTTAGGTTATAAAATAGGCCAGCTCTGGCTAGCTGCTCTGTTCTAAAATGTCCTTTGAGATCCATCTCTTCCTTCCTGTATAAATCTTCCTTTTTCTCATTCTGTTGATTTTAACAATAATTATTTGGACATAGTTTATGATACCATCTTAACCATACCTAGGTTGTAATGATGAAATTAATCAAGTAATCATGAATTTAATAATTTCTTTGCAATGTCATGTTATTTCCACCTACATGCATTTATAGTTTACAGGATATCATTCTACAGCACCAGTTTAACAATCGTTTGTTAAAAATAAATGCTCAAATCTGTTTTTTTGTTTTTGTTTTTTTTTTTTCAATTAGCTCTAATGACCATTTTGGGTTTTCTCTGCTGCCTCTATTTTTCTGTATTAAGCAATACCTGTATATGGAGCACAAAGTTCAGTCAGTCCACACTCAGAGAAAACAGACAAGAATTTCCAACAGCCTGGCATCTCTATGCACGATTTAAGAGTTTTTAAACCAAATTCTGTAGCTCTATTTGTTCAGCATAGCTTCTTCAGTGCTCAAGAACTTTTTGTCCTCAAATGTTGTAAATTTGCCACAATGCTGCTCATACTGCACTAGCAAAGCATTCTTCAGTAAAACCTTTACTTTAACCGACCTCTAAGATTCAGGAGCAGCTGGCACAAGATGCCAAAAATAATTTGTGGTGTGAGTGAAAGCAAGTGCACATGTGAGGAATCGAGAAAACTGAGCAAATGTACAGCCAGGCCTTGAGTTAATTCTGTTTTGTTGGAGTAGAACTCAGATCACACCCCTGATTTCAGCAAAACATTAAAGAAAAAAGTGAAGTCAGGTGTGGGGACACCACACATCACTGCAAACGTCACAGGGGATTTTTTGTTTTACTGCTGGTACGTTGTAATTAATGTACCCTGGGCTGAGTGATGGAGGAAGATGTGCAACCATCGGCTGCAGCTGCATCGGGTGATGAAAAGTCGTCCCACAGCTGCTCTTAGTTCCCCTTCCTGGGCTTGCCTGCCCTCCTGGGACACATGGCTGCTTGCTTACCAGAGTTATTGCATTTTTTAACTCTGATTTACAAATGCTTTGCAAGTCTCCATTTGGAGATTTCAGCTGTGGCTTAGAATAGTTTGTGTTGTACAAAACATGGCTGCAGGATTTGCTGGAGACCTGCTTTTGAAAAGCTTGCCATAGATCAAGTGCCATTGGATCCACTTCACAGCCTCCTCAGCAGAAGTTAAAGCCTGTTTTCTTTTTGACAATGTTTTTACTCATAGTGCTGCATTTTAGAGTTCTTCCCCCACCCCACTCCAGTTTCCAGGACTGAGAAACAAATATTCCATGTTTGAACTGAGGACCTTTATGACCATATAAACTCTGCAGGTAGCTCCAAACAAAAGGAGTGAAGAGAGATAACACTGCTATCCCAATCAGGAAAACATTACAGGGGAAAGCCCCTCAAGATCAAAGTGAAACAAAGAAAAACCCTCCAGAAAACCACAGCTCTGCCTGAGGCAGGCAGGCAAACTCATTTTGGCAGAGACTGCACTGCAGCATTTTGGCTCAGCTCCGAGAGCAACAGTGCGGCCTGAGGGTGGAAACGAGCAGTTGTACAAACTGTTCTTAACTTGGCTTCATCTCTGAAGCAAATGGATTCAGAACTGTTTATTACTAATATCATTTCACAACACTGCAAACATCTAACTCCAGAAAGCCACTGCTCTGTGCTGACATTTCTCCTGAGGTGTGATCTCAGTCCCATTCAGTCCCACAGCAGCTCAGAGATCACACAATCACCTGACAGCAAAATGATCAGGCACTGATAAACGTGAGGCATTCTGAGCCTCCCCAAAAGGTGCAGGATTTTATATCTGAGCTGAAACAGGCCTCTGAGGATGAGTGGCTAACCCAGCAATGTGAGATCTTACAGCTCTGACACTCTCCCTCTGAACAGACCAAAAGTTCAGTCGTGCAGGCTTGCAGGAGGCACTCACTCCAAGTATGTCCCAAAAGGAAAATGGTGTTGGGTTTGTGAGAATTCACAATTCAGTGGTAGAATTTCCATTTGCCAGACAAGGCAGAGGTTTCTGCTTGAAAAGTGCAGCTGACAGATCACCAGAGCAGCGATTGAGTTTTCTGTCCCTGGGAAATGTTCTGGCCTCCACATTTCTAGAACTGAAGGAGAAAGTTAACAGTGTTATAGTCTTTGTCCTAACTGCACTGGAGGAAAAAAAAGGAAAAAGTAATTACTCTGTATGCTACCAGAAGAGAAAACACACAGTATTTAACTCAACCACAAACAGGAGATCTGTTGCTAAGTCACCCAGCAGTACATTCCCAGCTTTTCTTTTCATCCAGAAATTCTATGTCATTAGCACAACCACTGTACCAAGAGAACACCCCACAATCTTCCCCTGCTCCTGGTGAGCTGCAGGCTCTGCTCTCTTCTTGATCAGTGCCATCACTGCAGTCAGCTTTTACTCTCCTGTCTCTTCCTCCTTTTTGCGGTTTTAGTTGGAATCGATTTACATTGAGGAATTTTTTAAAACTTCTGAATTTATCTTCAGATGGAAATCAGTCTAAGCTTGTTGACAGTGCCTGTCAACAAGCACAGTGAGAATGTGGTAAATAACAAGGAAAGCTGGGGTTGAATAGCTTATCTTAACAGGTGGGAAAATAGGATTAGAAGCATTAACTGTTAAGCAATTAAAATAAATGAAGAGCGTTAATTGCATATGAATAGATAGTCTCTATTGACAAAACTACCTCACTTTCCAAATAATACTCTCTTAGACTGCTTAATAAATATTATTTGTTTGCAAACTCAAATCCACAGAAAATCCACTCACTGATAATTCCAAGAATTATTTGTTTGCTAAAACTTTATTTAATCTCAACCACAATATCCTGGCTTTCTGGAGGCAACAATTGAACACTCTGTAGTGTTTCTGTAAATGAAGCCACAAGAAGTCACTATCACACACATATAAAATTTGTTAGTGATTTGAAGGTACATTACAACATCTTACATGAACCTTTTAACAAATGTTAATAAAACTGATTCTGAGCATTGCTTTGAATGGCTCAGGATGACACTTGAGCAGGTTAATTCTCCCTGGCTGCAGTTTGTGTTTGCCCAGCTGTGAGGTGGCTGCACCACAGCTCCTTTATTGGGCTCTAAACTTCTCAGTTCCAGGATAACCTACACGTTTTGCCTTGTAGGAAAAGGAAGTTGAGTTTCCCACCTATTGTTTAGGAAAGATTTCATGTTGAATTGAATGTGTTGGGGAGGGAATTGTGCTTACAGCAAACCTCCAGTTCAACCTGACTGACTGAACCCAGCTCTGATTGAAAATCTAAAGCTGGACGAGCTCTACCATTATTAAATGATACAGTAGAAATATGAAGTTTATTAAGACACTTTTTTCATGAAACTGAATAAATGTTTTAATCTGGAAAAAAATCATTAGAGATTTTAATTTACTCCAGACCAGGCTCCCCTAATACTTAGGAAACAAAACATCAATGCAGTTTTAAGGTTTATATTTTCCAAAGTGTAACTCCTCTGTTAGAAGCATTTCCCCTCCTTGATCAGTGAACTGATTTAGGTGAATTGCCTTGTCACTCTTTTCTCCATTTTCACCCCTCAGTCTATAATTCCAGATCCCAACAATGTTTATCTTTTCCAAAAGATTTTCTGCTTCCAGATTTTAACAGAACAGTAA